GAGAGCACTGCCGCTGTCAACATTGACATCACTGTCGACGGAGACGCGACGACCGAGTCTACTGAAGTTACCACTGAGGCCGAAGAGCTGACTACCGCTGATGTAAACATCGACATTACTGTCGGCGGAGAAACTACTACAACTGAGGCCGCGGAGGAGAGCACTGCTGCTGTGAACATCGATATAACTGTCGGCGGAGACACCACAACCACAGAGGCCGCAGAGGAGAGCACTGCCGCTGTCAACATCGACATCACTGTCGGTGGAAACGCTACAACTGAGGCCGCTGATGTAACTACAGAGGCCGCAGAAGCTAGTGCGGAGGATTCTGAGGAGGACGATAACTCGTCGTCATCGTCGTCGTCGTCGGAAGAGAGCGCTCCCTGGGGCAAGGGATGGCCGTGGATGGCTCAGCCACCAAGCCGGCCCAAGCCACAGCCAAGGTACCCCTACCCCAGCCCTGTCGGTCCGACGTCGTGGGCCGGCCCGAGGAATCCCTCTTCTAACGTCCAGCACCACGTGATCTACCACCACGTCGCCGCCCCTACCAGCCATGTCAGCCACGTCTACCACGGCGCCCCCCTTCACGTTCCCTACGCTTTGGCGCACCCGGCCGTCGCGCCTCACTACGCCCCCGTCGCGGTTCAAACTCAGTCTCGCTCCGGCTCCCGTGGACGCCCCATCCCCTACTACCCCATCTGGACTCAGCGACAAGAGGTCGTGCCCTCCTGGGTACACGCCGGCCCCGCGGTACTGACCACGGGCGGACTTGCAACCGTCTACGAGAAGCGTGGCCCCTCTGGCCCTGCCATCCTCTCGGCTGGTAGCCCTACAGGCCCCGCTATCCTCTCGGCCACCGTCCCAGCTGGTCGCGACCCTCGCGGCCCCGCACGGCCTCGACAGGGTAGGCGCCCATCCAACGCCTGGTTCCAGCAACCCACCGTGTACTGAGGGGAACAAATTTCCCGAGAACGGCAATGTCAGATGACAATTATGGGCATGCCAAATGGTTGAAAATAAAGCAACAATTTTCAAACTGGTTACAAATCCTAACGGTCCAAAACCTCTCGCACAACTCTCACCAAGCATCTGATTGGATTGTGATTGTAGTCCAAGAAGCATTCTAATTTCCATTTCGAGAGCTTTTAAATAATTTCAAGCTCTTGTAGGTTCCTTACCTTTCTCTGTCCCTCTCCCTTTCACGGTCTCTTTCCCGGTCACGGTCTCTGCTGCTCCTCCTATCTCCGTACTCCCGATCTCTGCTCCTGGACCGGTCACGACCTCTTCTCCTGTGGCGATCACGATCGCGAGACCTGGAGCGATCTGAAGCAAAATGGAACTTTCATAGAGGCAAATCAAAATGGAAACAAATGACAAATTAGGTATTACAAACCTCTTCGTCCAGAGCCGTAACTCTTTGTTTCAACTCCATGAAGAGTATCTTGGAGGGAGCTGATAAGGATCTTACACCTGTCATCATTAGCAACTTTTGATTGCTTAATGAGAGAAATGGCTGTCACTAGCGTTTCAATAGCACTGGCATATTCACCTGAAAAATTAACTCAATATTAAAAAATCTCATCACTTACATAATTAGTTACGAACAAGAACAAGATATATAGCACTAACCTGCAGCAGCATCTGACACAGCACGAGCGATAGCTGAACTTGAAACAGTACGATTACGCCCCATGATTTCTTCAAATTCTGTCTCACTGATGGGTGGTGGACCATCTGGTCTGTGGTCAGGTGGTGGAGCGCCATAAGGAACCTACATGAACAAAAAATTATAAACATATTGAACTATGCATGAAATATGTAGAGTATCACAGGAGAACCTGAAGTACACAAAATTGTAAAGGTAGAAAGGTTCATGCAGCACAGGATAAAAATTTGTACAAAACAATTAGATGTTGCTTCTAGTTCAGAAAACATTGGTTCTAACATTCAAACAGTTCATTGCATGAACAAAGTCATAGAAAATAAAGCTTGCATCTCTAAATAATGAAAAAAAAAAACTGTAAGATATTGTGCATAATAATAAGGTTGACTTGATATGCAAAATAATACAGAATGCATGATAAAATAATTCTCCTTACGGTAGAGAGAAGTCAAGGTAGTCTCCTTTTCTACCTCCCATTAATTGGTGCAACTCCATGAACCTTTCTCATAAAAAAAAATTTCACCAAACAAAGTTATGTTGACAAGGAATAATTTTCTCTTGAAAAACTTACGCGATCACTGTTGGGCCAACCGCGTACCTGGGTTGCTGGAGGCGGTGGTCCATACGCATGGGGCGGCCCGTGAGGAGCCATTTGAGGGGGACCGTGAGGGGGGCCATGAGGAGGACCCTGCGGGGGCACTGGGTGGGCTGGGTGCTGGGGGTGAGGGTGAGGAGCGTGAGCGGGGTGTCCAGGGTGCGCGTGCGGGGGTGGACCTTGAGGCTGGTGACCGCCAAAGAAAGCTGGGTTCACGTGAGGGGCAGGGGGACCTTGTGGTGGAGGGCCTCCGTGAGGTGGCGGCGGACCGCCGGGACCTGCAACAAACACCAGTTAAGATCAAATAGAAGTTTGTGTAACTGCACAAAGACCTCCAATTAAACATGACTCAATCACATCAGAAGAGTACCATAGTAATTAAGGACACATCTTGCCAGAGTTGCTTCCTGAATATTAAGTTGCATCACCAAACCAGTACATATTGCCATTAAATAATTTTAAGATTCAAGTGTACATAAAAATATAGCTGGCAAAGACTTCTGATGGGGGTTGGAGGTAATCAAGTGTCAACTGGGCTGAATGCACACAATTGTGTACAGGTGAAAATAAAAAGTACAAATCTACTTCTTTTTTTTAAAAAAAGCACAGGTTGTAGTAAAAGCATGTGACGAAAGTAGTCATGCAAAATAGAAAATAAGTTGAAAGAGTTACAGGAGCGGGTAATATGGGAATAATACATTGGTACGGGAAATAAAAGAGGCAACAAAAATGTGTAACAAGAAAGAAGCAATGTTCCAAATGAAAGAATTACATGACATGTTAAAAGCCCATACAAACAGTACACAAGAAACCCAAACATATCAGTATCAAAGAAGGGAATGGCCAAAAGAGCCTGGCATGGATAGGGATCAGGACCACTATCACTCACCAGCCATCTGGCCGGGGGGTGGGCCCCTTGGGGGCGGACCCTGACCTGGGGGTGGCCCTTGCATTGGTGGGGGCTGGTGTTGTGGGAATCCCTGTGGCTGCCCATGGTGGGGCATGCCTGTCAACAGACGTAAATTATATTACGACAACCAGAGGGCCCGGCCACCGTCAAGTAATAATAATTGTCACCTGTGACCAGGATGGGACAAGCCACTTAACAAAAAGAGACCACGAACAAATCCATACGAGTGTATTAGGTATGTAATAAACGTTGACCTGAGAACCAGCCACCAAAAGACAATTTTCCAACACCCATGCACACCTGAAATGCGCACTCTGAAGATAGAAAAAGCACCACCTGTATTCTACTTTAATACAGCTTGTAACACTTGAGTTGTGAAAAAGGAGCATTTGGCAAGTGGAGGATATTGAGACTGGCAACTGGTGATGGCGAAAATTGACTCTTATCAGGAAGAGAATAATCAAGACTGATAGGGCTTTGATGATGTGAGCTTAAAACAATAGCAGCAAAATTTGAAGTTCTTTACCTGGTGGTCTGCTCCAATCAGGTCTGGGTGGTGGACCTCTCTGATCAGGTCCGGGCCCACCAGGCCCACCAGGACCTGGTGGAGGGCCTCTGGGAGGAACTTGGCCTGGTGGAGGAACTTGGAATGGCTGAGAAGAAACAAAAAATTGTCAGAGACATAGGCAAACAAATCTAAACAAACTGAAGGTTAAAGTTCTAACCGGGTAGTCATACTGGCCCACCATGCCAGGTGGTGGTCTCTGCTGTGGGGGACCTTGAGGACCTTGCTGAGGGGGACCAATTGGAGGAGGGCCTACAAACAACAGAAACGGTAACTGCAAACTGAACAGAACTAGATCTCAGATATAGTCAAAGTAAATGTTAGTCTTGCTGTACCTGACATGCCATTTGCTCGTGGTCCATTCCAATTGTTATGCTGGAAAGGAGGTGGTCCTTGATTGGGAGGGCCTTGAGGATGTCCTTGATGCCCCATCCCAGGTGGGCCAGGCATGCGAGGACCTCCTGGGCCTCCAGGTGGAGGCATACCGGGGGGTGGCATACGGCCACGGATGCCTTGAGGTGGACCCATCATCATTCGTGGCCCGCCAGGGTGTGGACCATGAGGTCCATGAGGCCCTCGGGGTCCATGTGGTCCTTGCTGGTGATGTCCTGAATTGGGGGTAGGAGCAGGTCGAGTCTTGGATTGAGATTCGAACTGAAAAGTAAAAAACACAAGAGGTTACAAATCTGAAAAAACAAGAATATTAAGTATCAAGGAACTGAACCGAGCTGAACAGATCATACTTGATTAAGAGCTTGCTTGGTGGGGAAAGTTACAACAGGACACTGTCCATGAAGCTCTTTTTTGCTGAGACGGTCCATGCACATACGCATACTTGCTTCAGAGCCAAGAGAGATGGCACAGAACCCTTTCGATTGTCCATTTGCTCTGTTTTCAAAAAATTTAACTTCAAGGAAATCATTTACTCCAATACTAAGAACTGCTTCTGTTATATCTTGGTCTGTAGTCCACTGCACATAGAAAAAAACATTAGTTTTTACATAATCCAACATAAACACGAAAAATCAGAAACTATGGATAACTCACCCAAGTCAGATTACCAACATACAGTTGGTAGCGTCTTCCGCCATGATTGGATTGAGAATTGTTATTGCCATGATGGTAAGATGGTCCCCCATTGTTTGGGGACCTTTCATTAGTCTGAGCTGGAGCAGTGGAACTGCTGCTGCTTGTATTCAACTGTTGAGTGGCAGGGGCTTCACCCTCACCACCACTTGACGGTGCACCAATGACGTCATCATAGAGGTCAACACCATCATTACCAAATTCATCCTGCTGAAATA